TGAGTGTTATTTCCCCACCATGGCATTATGAATGTCCAGGCCTTAGTTTCAAGGTATAGAAGGCATGACAGGCTGGTGATGTGTTAAGTCACTTCCAATCTTGTTGAACAAAATGTAGACAGGCCACTTCTCTCTGAGACTGTCAAGAAGGGATAAGCCTAGAAGGACAGCTTGTAGGGTTAGTTCCATTGTCCCCTGTGAGTGGTTATGGGAAGATACAAACCCAAATTTGATGTCTCATTCTAATAAGAGAGATCCCAGGGAGGACAGTTCTGTCTCACCTTGTGAGTGGGTTCAGAACGATGATGCCCTTTCCATTCTGATTTTCCCAGAAGAGTCAGTTGAAACATATCCTTATATTCCATTTGTGTCCCTGCTCTTTCTCCATCCCTGCTCTTTCTCACCTGTTGAGTCAGGTGATGAAGGAGGAAGTCTGTGGGCCTTCTCCCTGACTTGTGCTCAATCCTTATGGGGCAGAGAACAGAAAGATTCTCTCCATTTTGGAGAGACTTTCAAAGTCCTACTCTCATTCAGATCTTATGCTTCACCTGTTTTGAGAGCTGTTGCAGAAATTTTCCTTTGTCCAACAATGTCAGATATCAGAAGGAGCAGGCTGTCCCTTTTATATGCTCAGATGCTGGTTTCTACCTCAAGCTATTGGGTTCACTTGTCATGTTGGCCCCTTAAACACTTTCCCCCCTCAATTCAGTATGTCCCAAGTGGAAGTTTTGGTTAGGATGTTGGCTTGTCTCCCATGGCATGACTTGGAGCTTAAAACCAAAGTCCTGAGCTGAGCCTCAACCAAGGAGATTTGGATAACATTTGAGGTCTTCAGGTATCCATACAATCCAGCACTTTGATGGTAATGTCCACAAAAAATACTCTACTTTGGGATTTTTCCCCTTGGTCGTTAACAGTGGGGTCTTTGCCCCCTCCTTGAGAATGCTTATCTCACCACTTCTTAGAACTTCATGTAGGTGGAGAAAAATTTTGTCACCAACCATGGGTGAGTTTCCATTCAACTAGACAGGATAGCTCTGATTCTGTTCTTCATGGTGAATCTTACAGCAAAGACTTCATTGTTGGCTCACTTTTACCAACTTTATGGTCATATTTTCCTTTATTTCAAAACAACTCTTGACAGGATCTCCATATCTCATTCAACCTGACTGCCACCATGACACCAGCTGTCAAGGTTCAGTGATCTACTCTACCTGTCAGTAGACAAACCTAAGAGATTACCAAAGAGGGGGACTTGCTGTTGCATCACAGGGAGTCTCACTTACACAATATAAGATTTCCACTTTCACACTTGGCTCTTGTCTTAAAAACAAGAGAAAGTTCTGTTTCTACTGTTAAGGATTATAGGGCAGACCTTTCTAACACTCTCTGGTTAAGCCCTCTCTCCAGACCCTCACCTTTCTGATCTCATTAGGCATTTTTAGCTTCAGAAATAAGTATCTCACACATTTTCTAATTCCCATACAAACCTTCAAGTGATGTTCCTTTGACAACCTTACCATTATGAGAGACACACTCTACTTCTTATCATCACTGAGGAGAATTCTGCTTTATGCATTGATCAGCAGTGGAAAAGGGTTGGTAATGATTCAGTGCTAATTATAATTCAATTTCTCTTCATTGTCAGTCTGGGTTTCTGGCCAAGAATCATCTACTTTCAGTACTTTTCAGCTCTTATTGAGATTGACAGTTTCTGTTGTAGTTGTAGGGTTTAATGCCATTTTTCAGCACAGTATAGGCTGTACATGGTGGCCAGTATAAATGGTGGAGGAGGAACCCCAGAAAGAACCAAAAACCCACAAGAAGCTACTGGAAAGCTTTCTCACATACTCACAGTGGCCAAACTTGAGATTTAAACTCGCACAGAGGTGAGATGGTAGTGATCTATAAATGTTAGTGCTTTAGACTACTCAGCCAATCAAGATCCTGCATTTTTTTGTCATATCTGAGCTTGGAATAATCAAGGTATATCCACTCCTTTGCCCCATTAGATCCTTATGGTTTTATTTGGCTCGTTCCAGGCAGAAAGAAGTGTCACAATCATCTCTTCCTTCCTTTTTTGAGGGTTAATATAATATCTCAGCAGCCACTCTTTTATAATAATAGTAGTAATAATAATAATAATAATTATGGTGATGATGATGATAATAATGACTTAGTACAACACCTAATCTTTAGACTCAAAGTACCTTTGCTTTACAATATTAGACAAAACAAAAAAGGACATGATTACAAAAACAAAACACAATGAAATTACAAAACAAAATCGTGCTGACATTAATAAAGGAAGTAAACATTAATAAGTCTTTAAGTCTGTTCTTGCAGTTGAAATAGGAGAGTTTTAGGAGCACTTTTGAATGAGGACAGTGTTCTTGAGTAGAAGATCTATGGCCAATTTGTTTCATGTAGCTGGGTCTTGGTAAGCAAATGAATGTTGTATGTATGACTTAATTTTAACAGTGGCAACAATGTTGTATGTATGACTTAATTTTAATAGTGGCAATGAATGTTGTATGTATGACTTAATTTTAACAATGGCAACAATGTTGTATGTATGACTTAATTTTGACAGTGGCAATGAATGTTGCATGTATGACTTAATTTTAACAGTGCCAACGAATGCTGTATGTATGACTTAATTTTAACAATGGCAACAATGTTGCATGTATGACTTAATTTTAACAGTGGCAATGAATGTTGTAGGTATTACTTAATTTTAACAGTGGCAACAAATGTTGCATGTATGACTTAATTTTGACAGTGGCAATGAATGTTGTATGTTATTATGTACGACTCAATTTTAACAGTGGCAACAAATGTATGTATGAGCAGCTGCGTTTTGAACTTTTTGAAGGTTTTTGGAGCAGATACGGAGACAAATCAGACAGAATTGAGTTACAATTGTCCAATCTTGAAAGTACTAAGGATCACACAAGTGTTGTAGTGGCATCAGCTGAAAGATATTTGCAAATGGAGCTGATGCATCTCCAGACATGCATTCTTGCATATGTTCATGAAATGTTGGTGCAATTTTGAGAGTAACACCTAGGTTTCATACTGACTGTGAATTTAATGTTGGTGTTGCCGATAGGAGGTAAAGGATGTGAATGAGAAAGTATGTGTTGTAATCAGAATGTCCTCAGTTTTATCATCATATATCTGCACCTTTCTACATGTCATGCATGATTTCACATCAGAAATGCACCTCTACGCCTTGGATGGTAATATCAACTTCAGCTGGGTGGCTAGATTTGTCTATTTGTGTGTCATCAGCATACAATTGGTGAAACACTAGGTGATGATGTATGACACTTGAGAGAGGCTCAGTGTATAGAATGATGAGAAAAGGTCTAAAAACAGACCCTTGTGGAACACCACAACATAGATCAACTGGCCTGGAGTGTATTCCATTTGCGAACACATGCACATTGGAACAAAGGTCAGTCCATTTTTTTCTGCCTCTACCACCCTCCTCCTAGTAGAAAAACAAGCTGACAGAATCTCTTTTTGGAGCAGTTTCCGAATCTCCTAGACCACAGAAATTCAGTATGTGTCAACTTGATTATTCTTGAAGATTTCAACTTTTACTTTGGCTGTCCTGGAAACACCAAACACATCAAAACTAGATTCCAAATGATGTGTGGTAGAAATTAAAGTTTTTGGTGTGGTTAAGATGTTTGATCATGGAGTTCTTTGCGATGACACCAATTCCAACTCCGCAAGAGTGGCAGGGGAACAACTTGATGGAGTGACTGGTGGGTGTTAGAATAGATCCATGCACTTGGGCTCATCACCTGATGCTTTTAGCCATGTTTCTGTGAAGAGTTACTGCTGTACGTTGGACCTATTGAATTGCTCCTTGTTGGATGACACTATGACACTGGCATGGAAATTTTAAAAAAGGTTTAAATAGAAACTTCCTTTTCTTACCTCAGGATATTTTATGAAATGGACATTTTAACTGTTTGAAAAAGGATACTGTGACAGTTTAATATTCCAAACAGTCCAATCCTCTAAATGCATGCTGCAAATTGATGTACTCTTTGATTTATTGGTTGATATACTCTTTATTGTGTGAAATTTTGTAAAGATTCCCAGATTTAGTTATGACATATGTATGGAAACATTCTGTTCATTAATAGTGCTATGTATTAATAAAATTTGCCACATTTAAAATTGTGTATCCCTCTTAAATGATACATCAAGAAAAATACATAGGTGTTAAGTGATTTATTTCACAGAGATCCAAATACATGTAGTAAGCTTTTACTGGAACTCTAATGAAAAACCCCCGCAAGGTTGATTTATGGCTAGTCAAAAGGCCTTCTCAATGTTATCAAATTTTTCTTTCACAGTGCTGTTCTTATAAAAACTGTATAATCATTTTTCAATAAAGTTGGACTGGCATAAAGGAATGGGTTCCACCAGCCACTTTTACTCCAAAATTGGAAACTGACAAGACTAGTGGCCCAGATGTGCATTTTAATAGTTCAGATTTCAGTTTCAATATTTGAAATGTTTTTGTCACTTATAGGAGTTTAACATTGTTCCCTTTTGTTTTAATATACTTTAAAAATATATTTACCTTGGAGAGTTCATCTTCCTGAATTTTTGTGCAATTCACTTTTTCATTTGTGTGACTGCTTTAGTAAACACTGATATTGTGCTAAATGTTGCCGCTGATTATCAATACTTTTTTTTCTGGGCCAAAAACCTAAAATGATTTGAAATCTTTGTAATTATGTGATTATGATTTTTAACCTAGCTTTAACAATTTTTCAGTCATATTGCTATGATGTCTGCAGTGTGGCAGTTTATAGTGATGTCTAGCACTGGGGCATCATGCCACAGACATGAAGCAAAAAAGTCCCACCCAGTCACATTATCCTAACACCAGGCTAACCAGTCCCAACACTAACCACTTAATGCTGAGCATCAAGCGAGGCAGCTGTTAGTACCATTTTTGTAAGTCTTTAGTATGACTCAACCAGGGATCAAACTCATGACCTCCTGTATCCGAGGCAGGTGCTCTAACCACTAGGCCACTGGAGTGGTTTAAAATCTCTGAAATTTGGTGCATAAAACTGATGCAGATCCTGAATTCTTTAGTTACAATATTTGTCATTCATCCATCAACAATTGCTAATTTGTCAGCCTTTTCTCAAAAACCGATTTCAAGCAAATTTGTAAGAAGGCATATGGGAATAACTTTTTCTCAAACACCAACTTCAAGCAAATTTGCATATGGGTATAATTTTTTTTAAAAAACAAAACAATTTCAAGCTAATTTCGCATGTAGGTATGAAAGCCTTTCACTTCTACACTCTAGATTTTAGAACTTTCTAATTTATATAAATGATGCTAACTGAACTTATCAGCTCATTAACCACTGGCACTGTGCTTATGAGGCAGAAGGTGGTAGCCTACTTCTGAGCTCTGTAGCGTTGATGTCATGTGCAAAACAATAAAATTGGTAATATTATAGAAAGGTAGACCGATGTAGCTTTACTATGATACAATATTATATGGATGTTCTCGTTGCACTACAAAATACAGAGGGGAAAAAAAACATCACTTTTTGTCCCCCCCCCCCTTTTTTTTCCAGCTTAAATCCACCTGAGGTTGTGATCTGGTTTTGTTTCCGGATTTTAGACCTTTTTGCCTAAGATCTATGGCAGACTGGTCCAAATTGTTCACAGACAGGTGAACCTTTGCAAAAAGTAGGATAAGATGGGCATTTAGAATGAAAAATGGTCTCGACACAAAAATGATTAGTCCATTAAGCAAAAAAATTTTTTTTTACCTTTCTGCTAATGCTCAGGCAAAAGAGCCTATGTTAAACAATGTTTCTAACACAAATAGGCATTAGGTTAACCAAAAATGTATTGGAGGTCGATGTATTAGGATGTATTCAGAAATATCTCCCAAAATAGATTTCCTACTGACATTTCAGGTAAAAGCTGTTGTTGGGCTTAACGCCATTTTTCAGCAAACTATAGGCTATTCATGGTGGCCACTATTAATGGTGGAGGAAGAAACCGGAAAGAACCACCGACCCACGAGAAGCTACTGGCAAGCTTTCTCACATATCCACATTTGACCAATCCTAGACTCCCTAGACTCCAACTCACGAAGACAGAGGTGAGATGGCAGTGATCCGTAACGGACATCGATTTAGACCACTGGCCACTCCAGGTAAAAGCAACATAAACCTCCAGGGGTTAATGGGTTAAAGAAAAACATATCTACAAAAGAAAATTGAACCAAGTGAATGCATCCTGGCATTAAGGCCTTTCAATACCGTGCAAATGATGATGATGCCAAAAAGAAGAAATCTTTGTTTTTGCAAAATATGCAATCAACATCAATGAAAAACATTTCTACAAAAAGAATAATTTCTTGCCCACCATCTCCTGTATTTGGCAATTAGTTAGACGTCAGTCTCAGCTTTTATCTGACCCAGTTTTATTTAAAATATACACAAGTAGACATATTGCTTTGCTTATGATTTCTTTCTATCTCCAGTTCTTCAACCTGTGTTAATGCTAGTATTACAAGTTCTATAAATTTATGTTCTGAAGTGACAATTTCAATTTCCTATGGCTAAAGACTAAACCATTAATTCTTAAAATGCTGGTTTTAAAGCCATGAAATCCAATATACAAATGAAGACAACAAAATACAGATTTAAATTTTATTAGATAAATAATGATCACATGTAAGGGACTAAAGTTCATATTTGGTGCAAGGGATCATGTTGTTATGACAACAAACATGCATGTGATTGCACAAGATGCAAGGATTTTATACATATGATTGGTCAAAAGGCTAGGTCAAAGGTCACCAGGGTCATGACAGACTGTAGCATGTGTTATGTATATTAGATGAAATATTTACATGTATTTATAAATATTGCTACATTGAAACCAATTGCTTAAAATATATGGATGGACAGAAAAGGAAAAAATGATTTTTTTTGGTTTGGCGGGTAGGTCATGCAAATGTAAAATGATTTGTCTGAGGACACAGCACAGCATTCAACATTGGCTGATCTGATGATGGCAGCCCAGCATGCTGTCCTGTGCAAAAATTGAGTTAATATTTTGATATGTTGAAGAAATGTGTCCATTACCAAGTTCAATTACATGCATTTAGATGTCCTTTACAAATAAATCTTTGACAATTTGCTAAACCTTTCATTTTTCAAACTTTCCCTTACAATTTTCAATAATTTAATAGCTTGTATGTACCAACATTACATGTGCATGATACATGAATATTTGTATTTTCTGAGGGTAGGTGTAGACAGACATTTGGCAACCTCTGACCTTGACCCTGCTATATACATGAATTGTGTAGAGTAGCTTCTAATAATTTACAGAGAAACAGTTGCCAAGTAAATTTTTACTGCCTGATTGGAAGAGATCCTATTTTAAGTGTGCATTAAATTGCAACAGTAAACATTGCAACTGATCTTTAGACCTTGTTACATGACTAATAAATCACTAAATGGCAATAAATCCATAACAACTTAAAACACTCAGTTGTTTAAGAATCATATCCATTCTACCAATGTAGATAAGTAAAACCGCTGTCACATGAAGGAAAGTGAAATTAAAATACCAGCTTATTATTGTACCATTAGTTTCTTATTCTAAGTAGAAGAAACACCAGGATTCCATTACAATGAAAGAAAAGTGATTGCATTTTTTAAAATGTATTGCTCTATACTCAACATATTTCTTAAAATATGCTCAACAAAATTGCAAACTTGCAAAATGTAAACTTCCAAGAATGAATCAAATATAGGGTAAAATATGTATCTTTTGGTCTACTATTATTGCACAATATGAAGTTTGCATCTTCCCTTTACAAAAATCATATATTACACATGTAAAATTACAAAATGGGATTATTGCCATCAGAAGAATATCAGAAAAAGAATCTTGGAAATTAATCAGCTTCAATCTCAACCCAACAGGAGCAACATATACTTCATATACTGTGCATATAAGATACCCACTAAATTGGGAGACAAATCTGAACAACTTCTGGAGGACAAGATATAAATTAGGGAAATGCATAACATTGTTTTTAAAAGTCATTAAAAAACTTGAATTTTCTCTGCAAATGTTTTTTTAAAAGTAAAAACCATAAAAATATCTCATATATAAATTTTTATGTTAAAATATTAACATACTGCAAATTAATGACTGGTCCCTAATTTTCAAATCCTATTCATTTTGCATCAACAGATCAGTTGCAATCTTCAGTGTGCCAGTCACTGCACATTAATCAGTAAAGATCACAATAGATATGATTTGACTGGCAACAAACATGTAATGTCATAGTTATTGCTTACATTTCATAAATAAAGAATGTTAGCTTTCAGACTTGCTGAAATAAATAGTACATTAATAAAATGTTTTGTAGCTATACAAGGGTAATAATATACTATACATACAATACTGCTGCTTAGAAATCTGAAGGCCCCTATAGAAAGTGCACAAGTTTGGTTTTGACATTTTCATTTCCAGATAGTATGACCTGGGTCCAACATCACATTACAGGATGTCAAATCAATATAAGTCAAGTGTAACCTGTTTTACATGGCAAGGCCAAATGGTGAATAGAGCATAGAAGCAGACCTGCAGAGTACAGTGTACCTGCTGATCATGTTCTACATTGTCAGGATTATACAACTGTAGGCCCCTATTTACATACTGTACATCATAATATATTCAGGTAAATCTAAATTAATTTGGTACAATCTCAGCAGGGGTGAGTGGCTTTTATTATCTATAATATACTGCAGAGCCTGGGCTACCAGAATGCCAGTTAAATTTAAATTAAAATAGCCCAGCCACATATATATACGGCATATCCTATATAAAGGGACAATAATTGTTATCGGCATATGCACATTTTATTGAATTTTCCGAAACTTTGTTCTTGTTCAAAAGCCTTTTCTTGAGTTGTAACTTAAAGTTTCACATCAAATGTAGTATCATTTATTGTTGTAGGTCTCAATTTTCATGGCTTTGAATGAAACAATCTAAATTTATCAAAAGCCTTACCATAAATTGCTAAGTTTTCATCATATCTTAAAAGTGTGGTTCTGCGCAAAATCCACAAAGATTGGTACACCATAAAAATTATTGATACTACAGTAGAATCTTAATCCGACTTTTTTTAAGAAACATTTTTTAACATGAATGAATATTGCATCTTGGTTGTTAGTGGCCTGAAAAAGTTCTTCAAAATGAATTTTTTTGGATGAAGTTTTGAACTTAAGTTCACTTTAAGTTGACCCTGTCATGCAAATTCAGTATAGAGATAAAATTGTCAATTTTAGGGAGTCAAAAAAACTTAATTTGCAATTCCCTCCCAAACCACTGAATCGTAGGTAAAACATATACAGCCACTAAAGCATTCGATTCAGCATCGTTTAGAAACCATGAACTATCTTAATACCAGAAAAAAAAATGATAAAAAAAATGAACTTTCCCATGCTGTGATGTCAACACGTCTCAACAAGATGCCATTATCATGCTGAACAGATTCTAACAATTATATTCCATATTTCTTTTCTGCAGTTACTGCTTAACTCTTTGTAAAGAAATTCTATCTAAATATTTTGTAAATCGTTAAAGTTTCAAATATTAACTGAATTCCCCAAATTCAAATATGCAAGATTTGGTTTTGATTATACATTTATAAAATAATGACTATTCTCTGCAGATAGCATTCAGATGTTTTGGCAAATTAATTATGAATGACCTTTTTTAGAATCTAAACATAACACAATTGTTTCATGCTTGCAAAGCATAATCAAAGCTTTTGGATTTTGTGGCTTGTTATATTTTTTCCTTTTCTACATACTGTTCTTAAATCAAAGTTATACTAATTACTTTTGAAAAAATTTTGATGTCTATACTCTCCCACTCTTTGTTCCCAGTGTAGTGATGTTAAAATTAAATAAAGTTTGCAACCTTTGGCTCTAATTTTTTAGTCTAGGAGTAAACTTTATGCTATTGAAAATATTTTGGATAT